ATTGCTTTCCTTACACAATGTCAAATTTGCTTTTAATTGTAGCATCTGGGTTTGAAGTTAAAGTATCAATGGAGCCAATGAATAAGATGGCACTGAAGTTTTGGTCCACCTGCTGAAAGCAAGCAGGTAATAAATATAGAGAACTCTTTAAACCAAGTAAACTGAGCTGGGGACATGGGAGAGTCTGCTTAGCAACCAGATGCAGAAAACGTATTTTAAGTGTTTTCTGAGCAGCAAAGAAAATTGGTTTACTCTATGCTGTCCAACAAAGTGCAGTGGTTCAGATCAAATGGCCTGAAAGTGTCATAATTGTCATCTCCCCAAATTTGCTCCTTGTTCCTGACACTGAGTACATTTTATGGTGGTGAGATAACAATATATGACCTTCTCTTGCTTACAGAGATCCTTTATACTGCTACATTTCCCAGGGTGCAGTTGTTGACTGGGTCAGTTTTAAAGCTTTTTAAGGAGGTGAATGTTTTGTAATTTAAATGAAGACTACTTCTGTACTTGTTTACAGGAGCTTCCCCTAGTCCTAACATTTCACAGTATTTTAACTTCATTAGACACTTGAATGCTTCCAAATACCACGTTGATTTGCTAAACTTTTCAAAAGTTGGCAACATTTGACTTTGTAAAGCAAATGTCTTTGCTAACTACGCAGTTGGTGTGTTTGAGGAGTCTTTTTGGTTTAGGTGATAACTAAGCTAATGATGTTTATCTAAAATACCTGTTAAATTTGCAGCATTTATTAGGTAGATTCTGTTTCTATAGCTTTAAGGACCTTAATTGGCATATGGCTGAGATTTTATCAGGGTATTATCTAAATAAGAATCAGACCACGAGAAGGACATTTTTATGGTGTTCAAACAGACTATATATATTAAGACACTGAACTTGGAGGTAATAAATCTAGTGACCCTTTGAGTTTGCATTCTTCCACAGCTCATGCAAAGCATATTGGTGTTTTATGGGGTTATAAAATTTTAATAGTGAATACTAGTGTAACAGAACTTGCTCTTTTTATTCATGGCCATGTAAGCAAGAATGGAAGGATGCTAATCTTGAATTCCTGCTTTTAGTTATCACAGTGGACATTTCTCTAAGGCATGAGATGCTTAGCAGCAACTCTTAAGTTGATTTCTGGACAGTTTTTTCCCCATAGTGGATGAGCTCCTCCCATTTCCTGCAATATGAGTAAGATGGAAAGTTGATAAATTTGAATGACTGTTGTCCAGTTACTGTAATTGCAGTCATATTTTTATATAATGCAAATGATTTGTAATGGACACCACTGAACTTGGTGTTTCCATATTATTAAAGTTCTGGTCGTGATGTCTAGTGGCTGTTCTAACTGCATGTATTTTAGAACAGTGAATTTCACTTGCTTTCCTGGGCTGTTTCTTTGGCATAAGTTACAGCCAAAGAAGCAGCAGGTACTCTTCACTCATGCTTCCAAGGTTTAACACCAAAGACAAAAATGATTGTTATCATCACAGAATTTAAAAAACCAAACAAAACCCAAACCAAACCAACAAAAAAAAAAGAAAGAAAAAAGAAAAAAAAAAAAAAAGAAAACCAACTCATCAGCTCCTTGCAGTGATAGCAGATAAAACTTTTAAGATACTTTGGGCTCCATGACAAAGAGAGTTTCTGAAGCCAGCTCATGACTGTCCTGTGAACCAAACAGGAACTGGTCTCTAAACCAGCCTGAATTTCTGTGCTGCCTAAACTGTCATGTGAGCTAAAGAGAAACTTGCTGTGAATAATCACCAGCTGGCCTTTGCTGCTTCCAGGCAGAATGTCCTCTCCTTTATCCAGAGGAGCCTGGCAGGTTGGGCTGCCTTACAGATGGATTCTGTAATGCCTTTGGTTCTGTGCAGGACAGGGCTGTAACCTCAGCACAGGCAAACACTGGCAGTTGTTCCAAAGCTTAACCAAAACCCAGGCAAGGCTGATGTCAGATTCTTGAGATATTTCTGCCTCGAAGGCAGAATTTGATGGCTTCTGAAAGTTAAAGACAAGAATATAAAATCAAAATATTGGGATCCCATGTGAACAAGAACAAGCTTTTGAAGTTTTACGTTTCTCTGGGCTCCCTGGAGCAATGGCAAACTGGGCAGTGTCATCCTGCACCCAGGGTCTGTGCAGCTTCATTCTGTGGTGTAGAGAGGCAGCTGGAGCTGGCTTTGAGCTGAAAGGGAATGAGCTGCTAAGAAGGCTCATCCATTTAAGAGCTATAATGTGCAATGTGCCTGATTAGTTTGGTCTGGTTTAACCAACCTGTTTGTACAGTTTTGGAGCATGAAGGTGGTGGAAAGAAATCTTTAGTAAGGTACTCAATATTGCCAGGAATCTGGTTAGAGCACCAGCATTGAGCAAAAGTGGGTGATGTGCAAGTGCTGATACTGAGTCCAGGGAGCAAGCACAGCACCTGTTTGTGACCATCTGCCCCATCCCTGTATCTCAGCTCGTTCCTTTGCACTCTGTTCATTGCAGTTGTTGCAATGAGAGTAAGCCCAGGTGTTTTGTTACCACTCAGTGTTGAGTAAATCTGCCACTGAGTCTCTGAAATTGGCCCTGAAGAGAGATTTAGTTTTTAATAAAACAACTCAGCAGCAAAGTGGGCACAGAGGATCATGTTTTCGAGGCTTAGAGGGAGACATCTCCTGTTTGTGATTCCCTGCTTGTGATTGTTGTGAAGTCAGTGAGAGGAGCTTTCAGTGATTAAATATCCTGGCACTTGGTATTTCTGTCTAATGTCACAGCACAGGTTTAACAATGTAAAAGAACAAAAAAGTGTGGAAGTGCTCCCTTAGAAACAAAAGTGCAGAATTTAAAACAAAACTTTGAAAACTAAGTGCAATTTTGCACAGAGGGCAAAAAAACCTTGAAACCCCTTTGAATGTCACTTCCATTCTTTCTTTTGCTGAAAGCAGACTTGTTCTTGACTTGTATTTGTAAACTAGTCTTGCCAAAATACACGTTGGGTTTTTTCACTTCAGATAATTTTTGTTGTTACAGTCGTTGCTGATCATTTCAACTTTTTTCAAACCATAAATTTTATTTCAAGAGGCCTTCCCTGTGGATTTCCACCTGGTGCTCTGCAGCACTACACTGCTCTTTCAAGAGGCAAGAGAAAGTCACCTCACAGGAGACACTCAACACAGCTTAGCTGGCTGGAGCTAATAATGTGCTACTAATTTTCCTCTGTGGGGCAGGAGGGGAATTAAATTCTGCATAAAGTTACTACCTCAAGGCTCCAAGTGCTTTTAAAGGTCTTTCACTTGGGAGAATTTAATAAGACAGCTCTTTAAATTGATCTGTTCTTTTGAGTTAAATGGGTTTTTTAAAATTGATTCATTGAGGGACCCTTAATTTAATTCATTTTACTACTTGATTTTCAAAGGATGAACAGCTGCGAAGTTTGATTCTTGCACTGTAGTGTTGAACATGAAAGAAAAATATCTGCCATATAAACATATGGTTTTAACAAGTTAAACCACTCTGGGGTTCAGCTTCACTTTTGGTTAATAAAAAACTGACCTGTTGTGTCCAGCCTTCCTGTACAGTCCTGTGTGTGCTCGTTATTGACTCGCTGCAGCTGACACAGCCCCAGCCTTCCAGCGGCTCCCTGGATGCACTGGGAGTGCCTGAGTGAGTTCCTCTTGCAGCACCTGCCCCACTGCAGTAACAGAAAGAGATTTTATACATCACCTGACTTCCAAGTTTTGCTGCTTGGTGATGAAATTTTACTAATATCTTAATAGTAATACAAACTTCTGTAGGTAGTGTTGGTCCCAGTAAAACTGGCTTCTCTGATATAAGTCTGCCAAATTATTGTGGAACTGATTTATTGAGCACTACAATAACTGGTTCTCAGTTCCCAGGAGAAACATGGTATTCCTGAAGGTATCTTGTTAGCCTACACTTACAGCTACTGAACTTTATGTGGCAAACTGCCTTTTCTTTAAACTAACTAACAATCTGAAAATTACTTTGGTACATGTGAAATTATATTTGCTTTTGCTGAAGTTTTGTTTCTGAATGTTTGGCAGAGTTTGGTACGTTTGGTACAGTTTATGTACCATTTTAAGGTCAGCCCTGGAGCAGAACTCAGGTAGATTGTGGTGCTAAGCTTGAGAAAGCTCTGCTGGAATAATGAGGACCTTTGCACAGACTGAGCCGTGTGAAGGTGCAGACAAAAGGTGTCCTGTGAGCTGGGCCTTGACTCAGGCATGCTGGATGTACATTGGGCTGCTCTGTAGTGGTACCCTGCTGGGGTTGATGCTAATTCCTGGATAAACCTTCTGGTAAAAGAAGGACGATTCTGTGAAGTTCTTTTGAGGATAATGTTTAATTATTTCAGCAGAGCAAACGTACTTCCATCCTTTCTGCTGTTTCTGTGGTAAGGATACATTTCATGCCAATCTTTAGAGCAGGTACAAGATACTAAAACTGTGTTATTTTATAATCTCAACTGTTGCCTGGCGAATGCAAAGACAGGCTGACAGGCTCGTTCTGTCCACCTTCTCCAATTCCTTTCAGCTGTGTGTCCCTGCAAACCTGAGGCTGGGGCAGCAGAGTCTCCTCAGTGTTTGTAACCTTTACCAGGAGCTGCCTGGGAAGCAGCCCCTTAGTTCGGAGGCCCAGCGCAGCCGCGTTTCTGTGCCCGCCTGCAGCGGTGTGTTTGTGGCGCGCCTCTCCGTGTTTGCCTTCGCCAAGCTAAAGGCTTGTGTACCGCGCTTGGTCTGTTCCCGCCGCTTCCCAGAGATTCGTCTCAGCCTCAGACACTGCTCTGGCTCTCCTCCGCCCACAGGGCTGCGCTGGGGGCCGCGCACGGCGCGTTCTGGCGCGGGGCTCGGTGCCACGGGCACGGCTCCGCCGTGGGCCGGGCCACGGCGACACCGGAGGCGCCGCGCGGTTGCCATGGCGACAGTGACCCCGCGCGGCCGCCGTAGAAGGGACGGGCGAGCGGCGCGCGGCCCGGCGGGGCGGGGAATGGCGGCGGCCGCGTTTGAGCGGCGCGTGCTGCGGCGGGCGGCCGAGCATCACTATCTGCGCGTGCGCCTGTGAGCGGCACCCCCGGGACCTTCCGAGCCGGGACCTCCCTGAACTGGGATCCCTGAGTCGGGACCCCCGAGTCGGGACCCCCAAGCCCCCCTCAGAGCCCTCCTGGCCCCTCCTGACCCCTGTGCTCTCCTTCCCGCAGGGAGCTGCCCGACGGCGGGGCCCGGCCGAACGCCGCGCAGTTCAAGCAGCTCGTGGTGACCGCGCTGAGGGAGCTGCACGGAGAGGTGGGACCGGCACCGGGACTGCGGCCTGTCCGCGGCCAGCGGCTCCGGGCTGGGCCGGGAGAGCCTTGCGGGAGCGGGGTGCTGTCCCCTGTGCACAGCCCAGGCTGCGGAGCAGTGTCCGAGCAGGCGGGCCGGGGTGGATGGGCCGGGTTTGACCCGCCGGTACCCGGTTACCAGCCAGCCCTCCTGACTCGCTCCCACTGAAGCTGTGCGGTTCAGTTCGGTGCCCGCAGCCATCCCGAGCAGCGCTCGGGGTCAGGTTGGACCGGGCTTGGAGCAGCCTGCTCTAGTGGAGGGTACCTCCGAGCATGGCAGCCGGGCTGGAGCTGGGTGAGCTCTAAGGTCCCTTCCAGCTCAAACCGTTCTTTGAGAATTGTTTTTAGAATTTGTGGTATTGATGCTTTTGCTGTAGAGAAGCTTTAAAAAGAGAACTGTGAGAAGGGAACAGCTTTTGGATGGGAAAGTCCACATCATTGTTTGTGCTCTGTTTACTCTATTGCTGGCTGACTTTAAGCAGATCACGTCACCTCTTGGTCTGTGTTTCTCTGGCTGTAATGTGGAAATAAAAGTGGTTTCTAAAGAACTCTGAGAGGAAGGGTGCTATTTAAAATCCATTGATGTTGTAGCTGAAACACTTGTGTGAGATTTGACCATAACTATAACACCTTTAATGATTTAACATGCTGGGGGTGAAATCAGTTGCCTATAAACCACGGTAAGAACTTAGAGTGATACTTACTAAATAACATTTGTTGTCATAGGTTGGAGCAGCTTTGCCTGTTGATGTCTTAACATATGAGGAAAAAACTCTGTCTGCCATATTAAGAGTCATTAGCAGGTAAGGTGCAGTCAGTCTGTGCCATGAAAATATTTTTCATAAGAAAGTAGAACTCTTAAACTAAGAATGGCCTGTGAAGAATCAAGCCTAACTTGCAGATATTTGCATACAGCATGCAGAAGATAATCATTGAGTCTTGGTAACTTTGTGCATCAGTACATTATTCCTTCTTTAAACCACAATGATTTTAATGGTTTTAAGACAAGAAGTAAGCATTGCTGAGGTAGTGGCTTTAAATCTCTTTCTATAGTAAAGATGAGAACGGTTACTCTAAATGGTGATGACAACTCCAGGTGATTTGGGTGAAGAATGAATTTTAATGCACACTGAGAACAAGAGCGGTTCTGGTAAAGTGAACTTGAGGTTGCAGTACAAATGTCTGTGTCAAAGACAAGAGACTGCAGCCACTGCAGTAATCTTTCAAGATGCAGTTTTGCTGCTAGAACTCTGTGGTGAAATTTCCTGCTGTTAAACTGTTAAGGGTTTGTTACACTTCGCATAACATACTTTCTATTTGAGATGTCTGTGCTGCAGGAAAAAACAGAAACCCCCAAATTTTATTAATATATTTTGTTTTCTTTTTATCTAGTGGCCTTGTCAAGCTGTGGAGTGCTCTAACCTTGCTGGGCTTCTACCAGAACAGGAGATGTGCCTTCCACGTGCTGCAGGTAAAGCCCTGTGGGGCTGGGTGCCTTCCCCCAGGTGTCAGCTCTGGCTCTAAGCTTGGCAGGCTGCCTAAGCCTACTGCCTTTTCATAGAAAGATGGCCTAGATGCAAAAATGCCTTGCTTTGGGAATTAAGTACCTTCCAGTGCAGGTCTGTGGGCCCGTGTTTGAGCAGTTCTCATCTTAAAATGAGTACAATGTGACAATAGTGGCTTTCTCATAACTGCATGGTTTCAGTCCAGTGACAAGTCCTGAGGTCATTAATACATCTGCAAGAAAATAATTTCTGGCAAGTTCTGTTCATGACCCACATTTTGGTCCAAGTTTTATTTTCCCTACTCCACTTTCTGCCTTTCTAATGGTTACTGTCAAGTGACCTTGTTTAACATGCATTTCCAGAGCTTATTTTTTTCCAGAGGACGCTGCTTAATAAAATGAGTTCTGAGAATTCTTTGTTTCTGAAGCCATGGCTGGACAAAAGTCTACTCAGGCATAACTCTAAGTTTTCAATCTATCATGTGAAAGGAAAATTGAAGTATTTTCAGCATTGAGAGCATTTGATGATGGGTTTTTTAAAGGCTTTAGTTGTTCAGTTTTGTTTGTTTTTTCTTTCCCCAAACCAGACATCTCCGTTTCTACTTGCGTTATCTGGCAACAGTAGAGAATTAGTCTTGGACTGAAGGCAGTTGTTGGTTCAGCTGCATGCAGGAGAAGTTCTGGAAATGCTGTGGTCCTTCAGGCATGGAATTTCTGGAGGGATTTTCCAACAAAGAACCTTGACAAAGCCAATGTTTATCAACTCACTGCTTGGACATCGTGCGTTTCAGAACTTACACATAAAAGTTGGAGACAAAGCTGAACTTAGCAAGGCTTTTACACAGAATGATGTAGTTACTTTTTCCTATTTGACAGGTGACACAAATCCTTTGCATTTAAATGAAGAGTTTGCAAAGAAGTCCAGGTTTGGGAGAACTGTTGTCCATGGAGTTTTGATCAATGGACTTATTTCTGCAGTTCTGGGCACCAAAATGCCTGGTCAAGGATGTATATTTCTTTCCCAGGAGATTCGTTTTCCAGCTCCTTTGTATGTTGGTGAAGAAGTCACAGCTGCAGCAGAAGTGAAACGACTGAAGGGTTCTGTTGCACACATTTCTGTATCATGTCAGGTCAGAGAAAGTGGGAAAACTGTTATGGAAGGGATGGTGAAAGTCATGGTGCCAGAGAGTTAGAGCTGTTCATCATGTGCAACTTCAGCATAAAGGCCAGAACCCAATGTACACTTAGCTTTGAGTCTCTTTTTATGTGACATCACTAAAACCAGTAAATTTGCTACAAAAGTCTTTCAAAATGTCTGAAAGTGCACAAACTTAACCTTACTAGAACTGCATTAAAATTAGAGCTTTTCCTTTTTTCACCACGATGGATTTCTCTGCCAAGGTGAACTAGGCACTTGCTGTGACAAAGTGGCTCATTCAGACGAGCCTTTGTGCTGCCCCAGTGGGAAGTTTGGACTGGTGGGGCTCACACTCAGGCTGTTCTTTCTGGTAAAATTGCAGACCACACCAGCAAAGTTCAGTTAAAACTTGTTCCTTCTGTACAAAGCAGCTGTACTGCCAACAAGCACCGGGGAGGGGACAGTGCTGTGTTCAGAAGCAGAACAGAAGTGGAGGTGCTTACACACATGTACTGCAAGATGTGTTGTAATCTGCATGGCAGCTCCAGCTGGTGTTTCTTCTGAAACTTGCCTCCCAGAAAGAGAGTGAAGGAGGCTTTAAAAAATATTGTCACAACTCGTACTTACTGTATTTGTGCTCCTGAGGGCAAGACAAACAAGGGCAGATGATTTGAGTACTAACTGTATGGCTTCTCTCTCTTTGCTTAAATGTGTGAACATGGATTTCCCTTTGTCCACTGAAATTACCTTGGTAGAGAAGACTTCTGGCAAATTCATTAGTAAATCATCTGGGTTAAATTATTTTAGCACTGGCATAAGATTGTTATATACTAAGGAACTTCTTTTAGGAAGGATTGAGGCCATCAGGACTCAGGCCTCCAGTTGGTGGCTCATAGAACTTCCTGGCAAAGTGTCTGTTATCCCCCTGTCTTCTCTGCAGCAGAAATGCATTTGAAACTTTCCTTGACTGCAAATAACCTCAGGAGTTGTCTGCTAAGAAAAGAGAATTTCTCCTCAACCTGTGATGAAAGCTGCTGGTGAAACAGCTGCCCTGCCAGAGTGTGCTGCACTCTAACCCCAGGTGTTAGTCACACTGGAGCAGAGGGAGGGGTAATGTCTCAGGTGTTTGACTCCATGCCTTCTCTTTCCAAAGCTTGGAGTTTGGCCTGTTTGTCATCTGGAAGCAGTAATGAGGAAGAGGTTTCCTTATCTCTTGTCTGTAGGAGCTGTTTCACTTCAAGTTTCCTTTCCTTCTGCCTCAGGTCACTGCCTGTCACTGGCTTTTGCTGGACAAAGCATTTCATCCAAGCAGGCCCCCTCCTTCCCCTGCCTCTCCAAGTAGAAGTTGTCTTGTTAAGGCCTATTAACGACGCATCAGATCTGTGCCTGACTGACCTCCTGGGTCACTGCAGGAGCAGTAGTTTGGGGAGTTGGGATTGCTGATCCAGCCTGGCTGCTGAACGACAGCAACACAGCCCATTTTCCTCTCATCGTGGAGCTGCAAGACAGAGATGAAGCTGTTCATGACACCTGCTCCAGGTGTATGACAAACTCCAGCTCTGCAGTCTTACAACATCTTAAGTGAGAGTAATTCCTGTGTATGGTGTAAGAAGAGGAAATGCAGACAGGTGGCCAACTTGTAGGTTCTCAAGCACCAAGCAGTATTCAAATAGAAAGTTTCTTATGCTGCTGCAATCAAAGTCACGTTGAGGAATTCAATTGTTAACAACTTTAAATCTGTGTTTTGAAAAACAACCAAACCAGAAACCAAAACCCCACAGAAGATCAAACCTTAAATTCTAGGAATTGAGTAAAATATACAGGATATTCTGATTATTTTATTAACACAAAACTCCCTGAGAGGTAAAGAGCAGCAAGTGCCCTTATAATTTTCCTGGTCTCTTTGGGAGGACCAGCAGTGTCTCAGGGCTGATTACCCCGGGGCTGCAGCTGCTATTGTCGCTGTCGGTGCTACCGGGGGCACCAGGCACGGGAGGCTTGGGTGGCGGGGTGACTCGACTGTACTTATGGCCTCCCCTCCAGCCCCTTTCCCCGCGGAGACGAACCTCCTCGTGTCCCCCATCCCTGCTGTGTCCCCCATCCCTGCTGTGTCCCCCATCCCGCCCGTGTCCCCCATCCCTCCCTGTCTCGCGCTCCCGGGGCGGGACCCGCGCGGAGCGGCAGCCGCGGCGCCCCCTTGCGGCGGGCGGTGGCAGCGGCGGGCGGCGGCGCTAAGGCCCCGCGGCGGCGGCGGCGCTGCCGTGTTGACAGCGGCGGCCGCGCCGGGAGCTGCTCCGGGAAGCGGGTTGGCGGCGCCGGTTCTCCGCTCCCAGCTCCGCTATGGCCTTCATGGAGAAGCCGCCGGCCGGCAAGGTGCTGCTGGACGACACGGTGCCGCTGACAGCGCAGATCGAGGCGAGCCAGAGCCTGCACTCGCACACGGTGAGCGGGGCAGGCCGGGCCGCGGGGGCAGGCGGGAGCGGCCGGGGCGGGGGAGGGAATGGAGGGAGCCGGTAACGGGGGCTGCTGGGGGTGCGCGGGACCGGCCGGGGCACGGCGGGAGCGGGGTTGGGCGGGGGCCTGAGCCGAGCCCGCGGCGGCGGGGCCGGGGGTGGCGGGAGGCGGCGGCTGCGGCGGGGCACTGCGGGGTGCGCTGGGGGCGAGCGGGAGCGGTGCGGGAGGCAGCGGGGCCGCGACCCCGCAGCGCGGCTCCCAGCGCCCCGGAGCCCCGCGGTGGGAAGCGGCGGTGCCGCTGCTCGTTGGGCTCCTTCGTCCCCTCTCTGCCCGCGGGGCTCCCGGGGACAGCCGGCAGCACCCCCGGGAGGGACCGGGGGGCTGTGCGGGGGCTTTGCGGGGGCGGCCGCTGAGGGGTTCGGCTGCCCCGCGGCCGCTCCGAGCGGGCCTGTGGGCTCCTGTGATTCCTGCTTCCCTCGGGGTGTGCAGCCCGCGGAGCAGAGATGGGCTCTGCCTGCCGCGTTCCGGTGGCGGTGATGGAGTTACACGTGAGCGGGCTGCGTTCGCCTCCGGGTCCTGCCGTGGGGCCGAGCGGCGGCTGCGAACCGCAGGGACCCCGCAGCCCCAGCCCCGTTTCTTAGCTCCGGAGAGCGGTGGCACTCAGCAGAGCAAGCCCTGCCGTGACTTGGGTGCCACAGATTAATTCTTTTGGGATGCCTAGGACACGTGCACAGTGCTTCCATAAGAACTGTCTTTGAGCATGCAGTAATAATCCAAATTCTGCAATGTCCTGTTTGCAGTTATTTTCCACTTTGAAAACCGGGTTTCATTATAGTATGACCTAGCAGTAGCATGAATCAGAGGACTGGCTATAATGAGCTGAGAGCAGGGATGCTGGAGAGGAGGCCAGAGGTAGCTCAGCAGCAGGTACTCCAGCTGGAAGCTTGCTTTAAATGGAGAGAAGGTTTCCTTATGTCCCTTCCACAGTTCTGATTCTTGCAGTGTGGATTGCTTCCTAGTTCCTTGCATCTGTTGCATACCCTTAGCCTGAACAACAATAACTGCAGGTTCACCATGGGGTACACAACTAATTTACAGACTGTCTTATTAAATATTCTTCATATAAATAATTCACACCTAAGAAGTGGTTTATTTTTTGTCTGAGGAACTCACATTTATTGACATTCCAGTCTTTCTCTGAACAGAAGTTACCTATGAGAGATTGTCTAGGAGGTCTTGTGAATCCAACAGGCTGTGGTTCTCAACTGGTGCAACTCCTCTTCTTATTAGTAAGGCTAAAGAGGTTTATTTCCTGGCAAGTGTGATGCTTTTTACCTGATTCAATAGCTGAAGGATGGGTGTGCCAAGTCCTGTGAGAAGTTGTGTAACTCCTAATACTCCCCAGCAGACCAGATTATGTTTCGTTAGTAGCTTGTTTCCTTATTATGCTTTTTTCTTAGTGCAAATGACAATAGTGTTTTGTGTTCTTTCCTTTGGTTTGCATGATTCTGGTTGGAAAAGAAAAAGTCACAAGATTCTTTTAGAATGATCACTTGGAAGAACTTTTGCAATCCAGACTCTTCTTGTGTCATCTTGTCTGAGGGAGTGCGATAGCCCCGTCTTTCATCTCTGTATTCTGTTCCTAACAGTTGTGCAGGAAAATTCTCTGCTGTTTTCTTCTGATCTTTTCTTAATAACAGAATGCTGGAGCACTGTGCCTTTGAGTTAAAATCTGTCTCTAAGATACATCTATTAGTAATTGTTTGTTTTACTGCAGAAGCCCTGTTGATAGCTGAAAGATGGCTTGAAGTGTGTGTAGCACAGATGGTTTATACAGAGCCAGTGTGGGATAACAAAATACAGGAAGCCATTAACAGAGACTTGGTTTCTTATTTGATGTAAGTGGACTATTCTGTCATTTCAGATACTTCATCTTATGTCCCTGGTGTGTGAATAGCTTGTTTATTGGTGGGTGATGGTGTCCCTGATTTGAACTTCCCTGATTCAAAATAAGCTGCAGAAATAAATCCTTGTCTTTGAAGAAGTGTGTAAATGAAGCCTTTCTAAGAAATAAGGGTTGAAGTGTTTTTGTGAGGTCTGAAAAC